CAAACCCTTCACCAAACTCAAATCCACACTCATTCTAATGGCTGCCCTGCTCTCTCTCTCCCTCCTACTCTTCTTCTCCCTCTCCGCCGCATCCCGCTACCGTCCATTCCCACCGCCCGGTTCTTCCGCCGCGAGCAGCGCCGTCGTTCACGAGGCCTGCAAGGCCTCCCGTGACCCTCCCTCTTGCGAAACCTCACTGTCCAAATCAGATCTTCCCGGTTCCAACGTTTTGGAAGTAATTCGATCCGCCATTTCAGTGACCTCTCGGAATCTCGAAACGGGCCGGGCCATGACACTGGAGATTCTTAAAGGGTTTTCCGGGAATCTGAGTGGGAGCAACGCCGCCAACAACTGCCTGGAATTCCTGGAATACGCCGAGTACCGGATCTCTCTAGCGAATCTGGCCTTTCCAGGCGGCGGCAGATTGAAGGACGCCCGGGCCTGGATGAGCTCCGCCCTGGTCTACCAGTACGACTGCTGGTCGGCGCTCAAGTACGTCAACTCGACGTCCCTGGTAGGCCGGACGATGTCGTTCCTGGACTCCTCCCTGATCCGGTCCTGCAGTGATGCGCTTGCGATGATGGTGAATTTCGACATCCACGGCGAAAAAACCGAGTCATGGGGCCCGCCAAAGACGGAGCGGGACGGGTTCTGGGAACCCGTACGAGATCCGTCTGGTTCCAATCTCGCCGGAGGTGTCCCCGCCGGCCTTAAGCCGGACGTGACGGTGTGCAAAGGAGGAAGTCAGTGTGATTATAAGACTGTACAAGAGGCAGTGAATGCCGCCCCAGATAATGAAGGGTCTGGCAAACAGTTTGTGATACTGATCAAGGCTGGTGTTTATGAAGAGATTGTTCGGGTTCCATTGGAGAAGAAAAATGTGGTGTTTCTCGGGGACGGCATGGGTAAAACCGTGATTACAGGGTCCATGAATGTCGGGCAGCAGGGTGTCACCACCTTCAACTCCGCCACCGTTGGTAAGTTTATGTGTTTCTGTGTTACATAATCTTACACCAAATTAATGGTATCTCTTAACGAATTCTTTGTTGCAGGCGTTGTTGGGGACGGTTTCATGGCCAGCGGTGTCACCTTCGAGAACACGGCTGGCCCTGATGCTCACCAAGCAGTGGCGTTCAGGTCGGATAGTGATCTTTCAGTTGTTGAAAACTGCGAATTTCTGGGCAACCAAGACACGCTCTACGCCCACGCCTTGCGCCAGTACTACAAGTCGTGCCGGATCCAAGGCAATGTGGACTTCATCTTTGGGAACTCGGCTGCTTTCTTCCAGGACTGCCTCGTCCTGGTGGCCCCACGCCAGATCAACCCAGAGAAGGGAGAGAAGAATGCCGTGACAGCTCACGGCAGAATAGACGCTGCCCAATCAACCGGCTTCGTCTTCCAGAACTGCGTGATCAACGGGACGGATGCGTACATGGGCTTGTATTTCAACAAGCCTAGTGTGCACAAGAATTACCTTGGCAGGCCGTGGAAGCAGTATTCCAGGACGGTGTTCATCCAATGCACCTTGGAGGCTCTTGTAAGCCCACAGGGATGGCTGCCTTGGAGTGGTGATTTTGCATTGGACACGTTGTATTATGGCGAATTCGAGAACACGGGTGCTGGATCCAACACGTTGGGTCGGGTTCCGTGGAGTAGCCAGATTCCAGGCGAGCACGTTCGGTCTTACTCGGTTGGTAATTTCATCCAAGGTGATCAATGGATACCTACATCATCTTCTTGAGTTCAGAATTTGTGTGCAGATCCTGTCATGATTTTTTACCTCATCTTCTTGAATTCACAATGTATATTATACAGAGTATATGATTAGGCAAGGTGTTGGGTGAAGATCACTTGGCACCTAACTTCTGATTCTAAATGGTTGGGTTCATTCATTTTGAATTCAATCTTGACTCCCAAGAGTAGTATGCAGCCTATAAAGCAAACCCAACAATTGGAGTGGAATCACTCCATTTGTTTTCTTTTTTCTAGCTTCCCAAACGACCCTTGTCTTCCTTTTATATTTTCCGGTACTGAAAAGTCAAAAATAGGACTATAGGAGTATAAGATTAGAATAATGTATTGATTTTCTTAATAAAAAACAAAGAAAGTGAAACTTTTTATTAGATGTCACAAAAAGGTGTTACAAACGGGGACCTGCAACATTGAGGGGTGGGCTTGGACTTTATATTCAAGCCCATGGGCCGGCAAGCCTGAACCAGTAATAATAATTAATTAGTTAATAATAACAATAACAACGTTAATAACTACTCCGTATGATAACAATAATATTTATTTTAGAATTATATAAACATATCATACTTTTTAAGAGAAAACAAAGAGAATTATTGCACATTAATAATATTGTTTTCAAAATATAATATCCGCAGTAACAATATCACACAAAACATGTTGCATATGATAGTAGTTACTTTGATAGTATATTCATCTTTCTTTTAATATCAAACATGTAGAGAGTAATATATCAAGATTTTATTTTATTTTAAAACCATTTTTAAATTTTGTAATCATATAAAAATTATTATGAATGCGCGTCGGGCCGGCCCAAAGTTTGTAAGTAACCGTATGGGCCGGGCATGCATGATGTAAAATTTCGATCCAACTCAAAACCCGACGCGGCCTATACTCTAATTTCCTATTTTATTCATTTCAAAAAATTGTAACACTAGATTTTTCATGCTCGTACACATTTTATTTATACATATTTTTGGTCAAGGAAAAGAAACCATAAACTTTGTTTGTTGACTAATAGAACATTGAAGGATGACGAGTAATTTCAAAATCCAAATATTATGGAATATAAAAAAAACAAAAAATCTGGAGTGCCTTAACCAATGGATGTTTTTTTCTGTGCTTATAAACTAGTCAAAATTGCTTATAAATTGTTTTTTAACCTATAAGTCAGCTGATAACATGTTTCTTTGTACTTATAAGCCAACTTATAAACTACTTATAAGCCAGAAAAAATAAGTAGGTCTTACCGACTTATTTTTAAGCTAATATTTTCATTTCTCGGTATTAATCAGATTATTTACAAAACTATCCATCACCATTTATGAATATCCTAATATGACTTATGTATCAATTAAGTCACTTTATTTCCACTGAAGAACATTTAACTTATAAGCAACTTATATATCTAAAAACTCGTTATCATTCAATGAGCACCGACAGCAAAACTCTCACCCAAAACGCTATAGTGCTGCTGTATTTTGGGCAAATCTTCTCATAAAATGACTCGAATGAAACGATTCAAGATATTGTAGAACCGTAAGATCAACTGATCAAGCTCTCCTACTTCGATGAAGACCACATGTTCTAATTCAGACTGAGGGGACGAAAAACTTATTCTTTCGAACTGTGGTACTACTGTGACGAGATGGAGTGTACCATGATCTAGTTGAGTTGATTCATGAACGAGGTGAAATATGAATTCCAGACCTACAATTCATATGAAGACACCATATCCCAATTCAATGGGATCACATGTTCGAAAGTAGCTTCGAAAACCATAATTCATCAAAATCAGGATTCATTCTGTCAATGGAAGAGACACTGTCGAGAGAGATTAATTCTTGAAATTTTCAAGCCTATGCTTGTAATCATTTTATTTTTAATAGCAAACATGTGAAGGCATTTGGATGAGAAAGGTTCACCTGGTTAGAGCGACCATGCCCTTGAACGCAACATGGCATATTTTGCAGCCAACCTTGCATTCCATTCACCCGACCCGAGATCAAAAGGAAACATGGTCAAGCCTGGCTAAGTTCTCACACAGTCACACAGTTCTTATGTTGTTCTTTAATGCTCCTTAGGATCATTGATCGAATTGTTGACTGAATATACAATCAACAATGCTCACTTTACATTAAGGGCAGGGAACCCATTTCACCCTTTTAATGTAAGAGACTTTTATGGCCTTGCAGGGAAAAGACAAGTAAAATCGGTTGATAGCACACAAGAAAACTCTGCTTATGTATTTGATCTAATGAGCAGTGAACCTATAAACCATGACATGGTCATACGTATCCCCCGGGTTCACAATCTGCGAAGGGAAATTCGAGTTGTTCACCGCATTTGGAAAGCCTTGAGTCTCCAAGCACAAAGCCGCATGTTTTTTGTACACGAATCCGCCTTTCCCCTTGGTGTCTTTCAGCGAATTACTTGTGTAGAATTGAACCCCTGGCATGTTAGTCCACATTTCCATTTTTCGCCCCGATTTCCCCTCTTCCACCACCGCAGCCATGCTCAAACTCCTTAGCACCCGGCTGTCAAACACGTAGTTGATGTCATAGCCACTAGGGAGCTCACCCAGCAGTTCCAACACGGCAGCCATGCCCAAATTTGTGGACCCCGTGTCGTCCAATACGTAGTTGATATCGTATCCACCGGGTAGCTCATCCAACCGGGTCCCAATTGCCTGTGGCTGCAGGAAATCATACGGTGTGCCCTTCACTGATTCAATGGCACCTGTGGGGATGAGCTTATCATTGACAGGAGTGATCTTGGAGCCGAATATCTGGATCTTATGCGACAAGATATTCCCACTGTCATGGCCTCTGAGATTCCAGTAGGTGTGTGATGCCAGGTTTACTGGTGTAGCCTTGTTCACTGCCTTGGCTTTCATTCTCACGCCAAGCTTGTTTTCGCCGATGAACATATACGTCAACTTCACATCAAGATCCCCGGGAAATCCTGCACACCCATTTACACATGAATTGGGGAATCATTGTAAGCTAATCTCAAGTGTCTCCTAGTATCAAAGCACTTTTTCCAAGTCCCCCCCACAATTTCAGTTATTTTGTTCAAATTCACTCTTTAAGGGGCTATTTGGTTCAAGGAATTTAAAAAGCAAAAGAAAATGAGATGGAAAACAATTTCTCTTGTCTGGTTAGAGAGGAAAAGAAAAAAGAAAAGTTGAAGAAAAAGAAAATGGGAAGGCAAAATGTACTAAGAGGAGGGAAAACAAAATTCCTCCCATTTTGGCAAGGAAAATGAGAGAAAAATATTTTCTTTTCTTTTCCTTCCAAATTCTATGAGCCAAACATAGTGTTAAAGATTAGATAAATGAATCTATTGGATGAGCTAATGGGCCCTATAAACTCATCTGCCTCTAGTCGATTCTTAACGATTTAAAAACACAAGGTAATTATATTATTGTTCTGATGGCAAGGTTAATTACCTTGTTCTCCATCGTAGCTGTGGTAGGATAGAGTCAGATGACTATCCTTCTTGTAATCTTCCACGGTCCAGATCACATCGCTGAATCCTATGGTACCACTTGATTTTTGTTGACAACATCAAGTTTTTTAATCGCGGTTCAAACTAAGTGTTAACATTGGAAAGATTGAGAATAAAATGCAAACCATGGAGAGTGTTTCCATGATCATTGTTTGGCAATTTGTACACAGTGCCATTGAGTTTGAATCTTGCTCCCCCAATCCTGTTAGCTACCCGCCCAACTATGGCACCAAAATAAGTTGTGTCATTCTGCAAATGTACATGTAAAAAATTATTAAATTATACTCCGTAGTAATAGTAATAATCGATAATTGATCTCAAAGGTTTTTTTCTTTCTTTTTTGGTGGTTGGGAGGGATTAGCCTAAACCTTCACATATATTAGACATTGTGTAGATATTGTTATCTCATTTGTGCCGAATAGGAAGAGACCTGCTCCGATACCATGATAGAATTTAGGGTAGGTAAAATCACTGGACTAGACCATAAAACACTTAAGTTGAATCACATTAAAAGATTGAATCAAATTGATTACAAGTTCAATTCAACCCATTATTTTTTTCATTTCCGATGTGGGATATTATTCGTTCCCAATCCCATCCTTTCTATTCACTCCATGAACATTTTTCACGGCTAAGAATCTAAGATAATGATCCCTAGCCTTCTAAAACTCTCAATTGAACTATATCCGAAAAGAAAGAATATTAGCAGCAGCTAAATTAGGGACAAAATGTGTATAAGAAACAAACCTTGTAGTTCTCCACGAAGTCGAATCCAAGAACTACATCTTCTACTTTTCCTGTCCAGACATTATTAACCAGACTAAAATCAGATCACAAAATCAAGAGTTAATTGTCTGATTGAGCTTTTGTGCCTCGAAAGACGAATGAAATCGAAACAGAAGGGAGAGAGTAGAGAGAGGTGAAGAAGAAAATGAAACCATGTTTATCAGGGAGGGTGACAGAGATAACAGTTGCGCCATAGTTTGTGATCTTCACAGAGAAGCTAGTGCCCCTCTTGATCTCATAAATACCCACACCTTCTTCTCCACTCCCTTCACCGAAACTGCCTGTTAAGATAACAGCCAAAACCAAGAAAAGAGATGGAGATAAGGTAGCCGCAGCCATGATTATTCTAATTAGCAGCCTGCTCAAGGACTATACTACTATCTCACATTTATTCTCTGTGATGACTATGTATCCACAAGTATTGAGGTAACAAGGATTACTTTTACTCGTGGAAATTGTGAAATCAAATAAGGTGTGTCATTTTTTGGTGTGAATAGGGGAGAAATTACGCCAGAGGGAAGGATTTTAGCTTCAAATTCCCAATTGGGAAGAACGGGATATCAAATCCCGATTTTCACTTCTCAATTTTTTTAGTAATCTGGTTTACAAATCCCGATTTTTAAAAGTAGATAATTATGGAATTTTTTTCGGGTTTACAAATCCCGATTTTTAAAAGTAAATAATTATGGAATTTGCATGGGCAATTAAAAAACCATAAGTGAAGTACATATATTTTTTTGTTTGCCTTTTTAATGTTTTAGAATCCTGATTATTTTAAATAATACAAATAATTACTAATTTTGCATGGGAGGTGTATAATTACTAATATAAATATTTAAAATCTAAAAAACTGAACAAAAATTGAAGTTTTTCATAAACAAAAAATAATGAAAGAAATATTTTATTGAAAAAGATACATCCAACAAAAAGACCAATAAAGTTACATTAAGTGTGGTAGATGTATATATTCATCCTCCTCTGGTAGCTCTTCGGTCCATCTCACCAATGTACCGGTTACGCTTACGTCTTCCTGAACGTGGAATATCTCCATCCGGCCTTATTGGTGGATTGACACGAAAGTCACCAATATCTAAATTGGGTTGAAAAACAACTAGATGAATCACTCCACTATAACACTATAGATAATTTTGAACGGAATATACCGGTGGGATGAGACTGTCAGCAACTTGATGCTTAGAGTGGAAAACAGCATGAACATGAACACATGGGACTGCATCGGAAGACCATCGGCCACAAGTGCAAACTCTATTCACGAGATCCACCATGTAGCTATAGATAGATGATGGATCTGTTTGAGAAGTATGGCTAGTAACATATTGGTTGTTGCCATAGTCTGCAACAGCCCACTTATGTTTTGTTCGCTCACGACTTCGTAAGATGTTCGTAATTTTCGGAGTGATACGAAAATTTTTTTGTTTCCAATTGAGTGCAGTCTTGTGCCGTTTTGCAAAAGATTCAACCATTTTGCTATAAGACATACTCAAAATGGCAGTGACCGGTAACATCCGACAATCCTTAAGCATATTATTAAAACTCTCTAAACTATTGGTTGTCAAAATCCCACATCTAAAACCACCATCATAAGATAGAGCCCACGCTTCACGTGAAATATCATTCAAGTAGATATATACCTCTTCACTGACATTCTGTTTTCTCCCATATATCCTTGAAATTCTTGGATATTAGGAGTGCTCCCAGCGGCCCACACCAAACGTTTGAGATCTGAGTTACGAAATTTTGTCATGAAGTTGCTACGGATGTGACGTAGTGTAACGCCCCGAAATCTGGCCCAAAAGAATTAATTAAATTGTTAGAGCAATTGATTACGAATTGGTCCCAAAAAGGGGTTAAAATTATAATTTGGATTTTAAGCCCAACTTTTATGTCATCTCGTAGGAAATATTTTTGTGATCGCATCGGTTCAGACGGCTCGCGAATCGGAGTTATGGAGCTCATGTTATGACCATTTAATCAGGTATTTTGGGTCCGAAGCCCAATCCTTTTTGGAATGGGACCATTAAATAAACCTAAACCTCAGCCACACAATCCTTATCTTATCTTCGTTCGTTCTTCTTCTTCCCGTTCTCCTTCTTCGATTCTTCTTCGTCCTTCTTCTTTCTTCTCCTTCTTCTTCTTTCTTCTTCGTCTAACCCAGCCAGCATCGCCAACGTGAGCCAGCCACCGGTCGTCGCCGTCCAATTGGAGCAGTCTCCACCCAGCGTCGCCAAGCCTCTAGCGCCGCCGCTGCTTCCTTCGCCAGTAGCCGCCGCCATCATCGCCGACGGGTGCAGCGCCGCCACGCCAAACGCCGGTGTCGCCGCTCATCGCCGTCGCCCGAGCCTCCAGCCGCCGTCGCCGAGCTTCCAGCTGTTGTTTCACCTTCGCCGGAAGTCCGTCGCCTCCCCT